AACAGATGAATGTACTTTCCTGAGGTGCTAGTTTTAGCCTGCAAAAGCTTTAATAGTGAAGAAAGCTTAAAAACTTAGTTTCAACAATCCAGGTTGGAAAAATATTGAGAAATCATGATACCATCATTAAACAGATAATTGTACTTTGCTGAGTTTCTAGCTTGATGAAAACACCATGTTGTGCGTTTCTAAGCCTTGTTGTGGAATATTTCAATAAAAGCTTGGTAGAAGAGAATGATTTGTCTGATAAAACAGAGCCTTGATGAATGAGCAAAGTTGCAAAAAGTCGACCGTCCTCCCTTCTCAGGGCACAGCTGCAAACTAACATTCTGTATCATGCTGCGCTTTGCACATCAGGGTCAAATACAGGACACTTGAGACACGGCTTTAGCACAAAACAATGTTATAACATATTTTACCATTACATTCCACTCTTTTGATTATTCTTTAATCACACATAATATTGCAAAAAAAATGTTTTTGTGAGACCAAGTCTCGTGTTGTTTAGCAAGCAAATGTAAAATATAGAACACCAGTAATGAACACAGAAACATAAGAAAATAAAAATGTCGAAACGAGTTCCTCCTGGCCTCGTGAGAGGGTTCCATGGGCGTTGTCGCTCCATGATAAGAGAAAACCACTCAGGTAGCTGACTACAGAATCACAGAAATATACTTAGATAATGAAACTGAAGCAAGCAATATTATGAATAAAACCGTGGAGACACAAACGACTACTGTGTCTATGTGGAGGGGTCCTGGCCGTGTTCTTCTTCTTGTGTTGGTCCGCAGGTACACGTTGGGATGTGGAGTCTGCCAACCTTCTTTCTTGTGAGGCATCCGCGTTGTAGACAGTCAACACAGATCACAATGCACTGTGTGTCTGTCGGTCAACTGCCCGTTGTGAACCCGTCCGTGGTCACTGCAACGGTGGTGTCGGTTGATTGACACTTGTTGTGGGGGTAGGATCGCCTGAGCCCACTGCTGGTACTGGATCTAGAACCTTCTTGCAATGGGATGCGTGGACCCAAGATGCCCTCTCAGCTACTTTGACAGCTGTTTGGGTGACAAGGAGGATCTGGAATGGTCCGTGCCAGCGTCGTGCTTTGCAGTTTTTTTTTCTGAAGTCTTTCACCACCACAAAGTCACCAGGTTTCAGTTTGTGGAGTGGTCCTTCAGCTGGTTTTGGGAGGGCGGCTGCAACCTATTGTCGTATGTTAGACAGAGCAGAAGAGAGTTGTGCACAATATGTTAACATTTCATGTTCGCATAATGCGGTTGAGTGGTGCCTTCGGTGCCTCGGTTCCTACGAGCGGAGGAAAACCAAACAATATCTCAAAAGGACTCAGGTTGCTTCGTGTTTGTTTTCTCATGCGCATGTACATCAACACTAGAGGCAGGGCTTTTGTCCAGGGCAGACCTGTGTCTGCACAGCATTTTGCCAATTTGGTTTTGAGTGTGCCATTTTCTCGTTCCACAGCCCCTCCACTGGCTGGATGGTATGCGCAGTGTGTTTTTAAATCAATACCCAGGTATGCGCTTAATTCTGTAATGGCCTGGTTGACAAAATGAGTACCATTGTCACTTGATATTTTAGAAGGAATGCCCCATCGAGGAATGATTTCAGAAATTAGGGCCTTGGCTACTGTTGTAGCGGTTTGTTTGCTTGATGGAAAAACCTCAACCCACTTGGAAAACATGTCTACCATCACTAGACAGTGTTTCTTACCTTCAGATGAAGATAACTCCACAAAATCCATCATAATGTGCTCAAACGGGCGGGTTGGTGGTGGGTGTGCAGCCTGGCTGGACACGCCCACGGGCCTGCCTACATTGTGAGTAGAACAGGTGACACATGCAGAACAAAATTTTTGTGCATATTCTGTGAATCCTTTTGTAAACCACATCTGCGGCACGTAACATTCCAACTTTTGACACATGGTCTAACCCATGAGTCAACTTAGCATAATGAGCAAAATAGTGTTTAGGTAAACACGGCTTGCCCTCGGGTCCAGTCCAGATACCGTTGGTGTAAACACAGCCAGACGTAGACCAAAGCCGTCTTTCATCAGGGGTAGAGAGTGACTGCATCGCTGTAACTGACTCCTCAGAGCACATGAGAGCATAGGTAGTGGGAAGCGGAAGCAGAGCAGCAGCTTTTGCAGCCAAGTCTGCTCGAGCATTTCCCTGTGATACATCATCCATATTGGACGTGTGGGCAGCACATTTACAGACAGCAATAGCTGTGGGTAGCAAGATGGATTCCAACAGTTCAGCAATGAGAGTGTGATGTAGGATGGGCTTACCGTCCGATTTAAGGAGGTTCCTGTGTTTCCACAGCACCCCAAAATCATGTACTACACCAAACGCATAGCGAGAGTCAGTGTGAACTGTGAATGTTTTACCCTTAGCCAGTTTACAGGCCTCGGTCAGAGCGATGAGCTCGGCTGCCTGGGCTGAGAGGTGACATGGCAGAGGACCTGAACACAGCACACCAGAGTCAGAAACAACAGCAAAACCAACACGATTTTCACTAGACTGAGGATCACGAGAGGCGGATCCATCCACATACATTACCATGTCACTGTTAGTTAGTGGAGTGTCCACTAGGTCAGGGCGAGGAGTGCACTGAGCTTGGAGCTCAGCCAAACAGTTGTGGCCCTCCCCATCCCCAGGAATAGGAAGTAATGATGCAGGGTTAAGGTTAGTACAACGTTTATAGTGACATTCGGCATGTCCAGGAGACATGTGTGGTAACGCAAATAGCAAGCCGCAGAGAGGTGAGATGATTTCTGTTCGAGGAGAATCAAAGAAACCGCGTGCGGAACGAGCAGAGTGAGTGGTGCGTAACCCACTATGTCACGTGAGGCTGTGAGCGCCTTTTCAGCCGCGGCAAAAGCGCGCGAACATTGTGGCAGTCCTGCGGCGACAGGGTCGACTTTTGCAGAGAAATACGCCACCGGGCGGAGTTTATCACCATGGGGTTGTAGCAGCACAGAAGTCATGCAGCCCTGTCTTTCATCTACTGTTTGAGTAAATGGCTTATTCGGATTCGGCAGGCTTATTCGGATTCGGCAGACCCTCTTCAGTCCAGATTATTTTGTTGTGTGCTGTAAGATTTTTCCCATGGATTAAGTTTGATAACGGTTGTTCCATTTGTGAGTAGTTTGGAATAAATGATCGACAGTATGAGCACATGCCCAAAAAGGACATCATCTGTTTTTTGGTGTTGGGGATCGGTATTGATACGATCACGAAGATTCTTTTTGGGGAGAGGGTTTTTCCTTCTCCAGATATGTCATGACCTTGGAAAGGCACATTTTGAGACACAAATTGTAATTTAGAAAGGCTGGCCTTGTGGCCTTTTTCGCTAAATGTTTGAGTAGTTTAAGCGTGTCTGTCTGACACTGTGTCTGATTTGGAGCTGCAATCAAACAGTCGTCAACATACTGCAGAAGTGCAGAGCCGGGAGAGAGCGTTAAGCTCTTAAGCAAGCAAATTGAATACAGGTGTGATAGCGTCAATGGCCTGGTGTCGCAGGGGATACTGGTGTTTGTGGGGGCGGAAGTCAGAACGTGGAGTGATGACGACCGGTTGGCAGTTGTTGATCAAGCCTACGTCATATTTGTGTGCCGCCCAGAGTGTCTGTGGAACAGAAGCAAGAGCGGGAGAAATTGACGTGGGAGTTGTTGAAAATGTTTCAACTTTGTCGTTGTGCTCATAAAACACATAGACAGATCGACAAGCTGGTGTGAGGAGTACACAGTGAGTTCTGTGAAACCCTGTAGAGGCGGAGCGCAGAACAAGCGGATCGATTGTCTCCTCCCAGTCAGTGAGAGATTCACACTGAGCCACAAATGGTCCCAAATCCCTCCATTGGTCAAGGCCTCCTTTAGACAGTGAGACATGGGGGTGTGAGCTGGGAACTTGAAACAGCTCTTTCTGTATGGGAGACAGAGAAATAGACACAGCAGATTTACAAGTTGACCAGTACAAAGTAGAACAGGCAATTGCATCATTGAGGGCCTCAAAAAATGTCTCTTCAAAAGAGTCGTCTGGACCCTCTGAGACATATGTTGTGCAATGCAGGTGTTCAGGGTTCATACGGTCTGCATGAGGAGAAACCCGAGCTTCACCAGCCTGGCTTAGCCTCCGAGCATCATCAATCGGGTTCCACCACTGATACACAAAAAGAGGATTAGAGGGAGCCTTTTGCACCATTTGGAGTGTGGCACTACGCCTAACTACTTTAAGGCCGTCTGGAGATGACGTCAAACAAATACCACATGTACACATCAAGTCTCTGCCCATCAGATTTATGGGACAGAGTGAAGAGAGTAAAAAAAAATGTTTTACTTTTATGTCAGGGTTTAGGTCAGTCTCGTCAGAGTGTACACTCGTCATAGGCCTATGACGAGTGCACGTCATAGGCCTATGACGAGTGTACTGCATGAAAAGTGGGATTTTCGGCAGTATGCGGCACTGTAAATTGTCGTGGAATTTCAGGTTTGCGGCAATTTGCGGGCAACGCCGAAAACTGCCGGAAATTGTCAGAAATTGATGTGGGCCTCCCTTGGCAGTTGTCCCCCCATAACCCCCCTCCTCCTAATTCTAGGGGAGGCTTTGACATGTAAATGAAAATGCTGTGAGCTAAACAAATGCAAATCAGGGTTGCAGAGGGAGTTTTAGCCCAGGTGACATTTTTTTAAAAGGTAAGAAAATCTCTGGTACAAATAGATCAGGCTCAGCAGCCTAATTATAGACTCTTACATTTTAGCTTGAATTGATTAATTTAATTCAAATATGCTAGATTACGGTGTACGCCATTAGCAATGGCAAATGTTATGTAAAAAAGATACACAAAATAACTTCTTTAAAAAAGTAGTTTTAATCAAGGTAAAATGAACATTCCATGCAAACAACATTTGAATCAGCATGAGGGGTCTGCAGAGATCAGTCTCCTAGAGCTCAACTACAGTGCATAGTGGCAGGACTACAGTGACCTTTTCTTTGGTCTTACTTAAATGCACAGAGGATGTATTAACCACACATCTTCTAGCAATGCGCTCAACTGGCAGAAATGATGCTGTATGACGTATCTGTTCCCTGCAAGCCCCAAACTTCTATTGGCTTTCCATAAAAATGTCTGTCCGGTGGGGATGAAGCCAGGAAACGTGTGCAAGAACATGTTTAAATGCCGTACCCTTTGACACAACATTGACAACTATAAACTGCTTTATAATGGCTGGTCGTAGTTCTGCTAGAGGGTCAAGGACGGGTTCCTCAAAACTGTTAAGTGTTTCCACACCACTTAGCATAAACATATGCTGACCTTTCTGCTCTGCATCTATCGATTGAGTAAGTTACATTCATATATGTTACCCGTTTACATGTCACGGCAAAACATTCAACCTCAGTGACACAAGGGTACATGTGATGATACATTGTCAACATTGCATGTCTGTCAGACTCAAGAGTGTCTGGTGGAATGGAGAAAGAGGCACCACTGTACAGTTTTCTAGGGAAAGTCGTTCTGCTGACACCAAAACACTGCTTTACATAAAGTATATCAGCTGTTTCATTGCACGACAAAGTCCCAACCAATTGTCTTCCTAAAATACTGGTCCTTCCGTATAACAATAACCTCGCATGTGATTGGAGGACCCTTAGACTCCTCGTCCAATCACGTGTGAGGTCATAGGCATGACTGATAAAGCAGTACATGCAAGACGAGCATACAAACAGACACGTGTGTTACTATATTCAGAAGAACTGTATCTCCAGTTCCTTTGTTTGGTTTTTGCTGCTTCGTGAATAATGGCGGGACGACGTCTCGCGTTCAACTCGCCTCCAACTCCTCTCCGCGGTCACCAACTTTCGGCCAGTCCGCAGACAGACGGGAAGAAGCTGCTGAATGCTCTCCGTGGATCGTCTCGTCAACTCCAACAACAAACTGCCGATATTAACGAGCGGTTCGCTCCACTGGAGCGTTCGGGACTCTGCGGGTTTCTGTCCATGGAGGAGAGGAACCGACTCAAAGAAGAGGAGACGGGCGCACAATCCCAAGATAGCGGTAAGAATACGTTCGATGACTGCAAGCTAAGCTAAAAGTAGCGTAGCCTCAAGCTAAGCTAAGAGTAGCCTAGTAGCCTTACAAGTGAGCAGAAACAGCTTTATTAAAGTGTGTTTTCTTTGCCGTGTCGTTTACAGGAAGCGGTGCGCCGTCTTCACAACTCCGAGACGAACTACAGGCGCTACGAACCGGAGCAAGGGTCAGATTTAAAGAATATGCTTTCATTCTGCGGTATAAGGAAATATACACGTATAGATACCGATCTTAACTGTACATTTTGTTTTCACAGACTAATCTCTCCTCATAATGAGGCGGTGACCTCGTATTTGCTCCGGGAAAAGTCCAGATTTAGACGACGTCATTGTGTGTAAGTGACACTGTTTACTGTTTCTCCTTCCTTGTTAAATGTTACTGTGACTTGCGTTTGATTTTTTTTGTATTCATACCACACTCATTTAATTGTTCCAGCTCCCTGTGAGACATATTTTGAGACGGGACGCAGGAGCTTCAGGTTCAGGCGGAACACTCACTGCGGGCGGAAGCTGCGAAGGATTCAGCGCGGAGTCGAGCGAGAAGAAAGCGGGTCAGAGTTTATTTGCTGACTTTTTTTCAGGTGCATTGATCGATGTGTTGTGTCCGTACCCATCGCATCGTACTGATTCATTGTTGTTTTTACAGCTGCTGGAAACGAGACAAAGAGTGCTGGCTGATGACGAGGTGGAACTCCGCCACCGTAGAGCTCACGTCGGACGGAGGGGACGGCGTTGTTGGCGGGGTCTCGGGGTGGATTGTACGGTCGCCACACGCACACACGAGCCGCCTGCACAATAGACCTGCCTCGGAAAACACTGCGCCAGTGACGGTCCACAACCCCGAGGAGGCAAACGGACAGTTTACTGAGCTGTAGTTTTTAAACCGCCGTTACCCAAGTGTGGGCAGATCCTCACTTTGTATGTAGTTGTTGTTTGTGTGTTGTTAATAAAGCTTTCTTTGCATAAACATGTGGCAAATGTTCATTTTCTCTATAAATTCATTGATGTCCTGGTTGGTATCCTAATAATAGTGTAGTAGCCTACATAGGATAACCATGAAATGAATATACAGCACAATATGAATATATAAATAAAATGAGGCGGGTGACCAATAGCGACAGATCTGCCAACCAATCACGAGTGATTGAAAGTTGTGGTTTCATCCAATCATGAACAAGGAAACTCAAGCCTGGTCTGCCCACGTGTGGTTTTGCTGCCAATCACGAGTGATTGTATTTGTTAGTACGTTGTGGTTTCATCCAATAAGGAGTAAGGATATTCAAGCCGGCTCGGCCACCCGCGGCTTCGCTGCGTTCATATGCTAATTCGGGCCATTCGCACCTCCGCCAGCTCTCCGCCTACGTCATGGTTCGTTTCCGACAATTTGTGGCACAGACAAACGCGATGTGCGCGGTTTGCAAATTGTCGGAAATTGTCGGAAATTAGGGAGATTTCCGGGCGTTTACGGGGACGAAAATCTCACTTTTCATGCAGTGAGGTGCAGTACATTTTTCTGTCACAGTCAAACCTGAAGCCCTTTGAGAATATACATACCGCCCACTCATTTTTTGATTTGGAAAATGTTTTTCTTGAATTACTGAATGAGTAGTCTACTAAAAACGTCAATTCTTTCCCTTCCACAATTACTCTTGTAGTTGGCATATCTTTGTATGCATCTGATGAAAACATAGCATACGTGAGTGGTGGTGGTGTGGATGTATTCTGTTGCTGTTGCTCTAAGTGAGAAATGATGCTGAGCAAAACAGCATGTTGTTCTGCAGTGTGCGTGCGAGGAAGCAGGTCTTCATTGCAGCATTCACTGCATGAAAAGTGAGATTTTCAATCTTTCTTCTTGCTCGACTCCGCGCTGAATCCTTCGCAGCTTCCGCCCGCAATGAGTGTTCCGGCTGGAAAACCTGAAGCTCCTACGTCCCGTCTCAAAATACGTCTCATTGTGTGTGCATGTGCATGTGGGTGTGTGTGCGAGGAAGCAGGTCGTCGTTGCAGCATTGTGTGTGTGTGTGTGTGTGTGTGTGGGGTGTTTCACTTCCCTGTTTTGGAGAGGCAGCAGTAGTCATCCCTTCACACATGCAATCTCCATCATTTGTTTTCTCTCCCTGCATTCACATTCCATTTCCCAATGTGCCAGACATGTCTGGTTTTTCTCTATTATTTCCAAGTCTTTAACTTTGATCTTTTTACCACTTTTCAATTTTGTTAACCTTGCTTCCAAATCCCCTCTTAACATTTTAAGTTTAGCGGCACTCAACGAGCCGTTTTCTGGAAACCCAAACTCTTTTGTCTAGTATGGGAGACACTCTGTAGCCTACATGTTTTCCCGTATTTCTGCTGCATCATTGCCACAATCGGACCCGACGTTCCGTGTGTTTTGCGGACTGGCCACCTATCTTTTACTGGTGTGGACCCTACCGGTTTACTTATTACAATACAGTCGTCACCGTAAGGCTTAGTTTCTTTACTCAAGGAAAAACTTGCAAAAACCCCACTCAAAACTCACGCTTCGATTTTGCCACGATCTTATTCTAAAGGTAATTCAGTAGAACTCACGTTTGGTTAACAATAACAGTGATATCGTTTTACCTGCTTCAGCATAAAATTCACGTATAGGCTATTTCCAAGATCTTATTCCACAGGTGGAATTCACGTTTGGTCAATAGCAACGGTCTTATTTTACCCGGGTAGTCAAGCGATCTGCGTTACGATCTCGGAGAATTTGTTCCGAGTGAAATCTTTACCGTAAGCAATCCTGTCTTCTACTTGTAGTCTAGCGATGTTACGATCTCAGAGAATTTGTTCCGAGTGAAATCTCTATCGTACACAATCTACCTTCGCATAAAATGATGCATTAGAAATATCCCGGAATCATGTACTCAAAAAAATATAAAAAAATTATTATAAGAAAAAAACACCCAAAATGTTAAAAAATAATTGTATTCCCCAGACTATAACAACCACTTGATCAGTCATCCGTTTTCGTTATGTTCAACTCTTACTGTTACTTTATAATTGGAATTTCAACTTCTTACCCGAGTTTGTAGAAATTAATTCTTTCAATCAGGACTCCTCTGGTTTCCGCCGGTCCTTTCTCTCTTGTCTAAGGAGGTATGAGGCAGGATCATCAGCTGGTGATCCTGGAAAAGGCCGTTATCTCTGGACGGTCCCCTGGAGCCTGACGGACGGTGAGTGAATCCTGTTCGTGACGCCAAATTGTTGTGGAATATTTCAATAAAAGCTCGGTAGAAGAGAATGATTTGTCTGATAAAACAGAGTCTTGATGAATGATCAAAGTTGCAAAAAGTCCATTTATTGCTTGCAAGCAGTAGGTCAAATACACAGGCACGTATCACGGTGCTCTCTGGAAATGGCGTCTCCGAGCATTAAAGACGCTGAGTTTTTATACACATGTGGAGGACATTCTCCGTGCCAGTTACGAGAAGCTGCAAAGCAGGTTGAGATAAGAACCCAGGTGAAGCTGAGGGTAGCACACACACACAAGATCCTCCTCAGTGGCCGGTGGAAATCATAATTAATTGACATAAAAGTAAAACTTGGATCCGGAACTTTCGTACCGAATAAGATATGAACCAAGGCCATTTGGGCATTCTCTCATTCTGCAAAAACTTTAAAAGAGAAGGAAAGGTACACTGTGAACAAGTGAATTCTTCAATGCTATACAATTTGGGCATTCTCTTTCTGCAAAAGCATTAAAATTGAGGGAAAGGTAAAACACTTTGTTTGAATAAATCACTTTGAAACTATTCAGATATCATACCATTATCAAACTATGAATTTTACATTCCTGAGGTAATAGTTTGATGCATACATTACATTACATGTCAGTAGTTGCAGTAGTCCAGGCGGGAGATGAAAAGATTGAAAAGAAGACACTGAGAACAAGTGCATTCTTCCAAGCTCTACGTTTTGGGCATTCTCTCAATCTGCAAAAGCTTTAAGAAGTGAGGAAAAAGTAAGACGCTTTGTTTGTAGAAATTAGGTTGAAAACTCTTCTGATATAATGACACCATCATGAAACTATTCATTTTACATTCCTGAGGTAATAGTTTGATGCATACACTGTGAACAAGTGCATTCTTCCATGCTGTACGTTTCGGGCATTCTCTCATTCTGCAAAAGCTTTAAATGTGAGGAGAAGTTAACACATTTTGTTTGAATAAATCAGGGTGAAAACTAGTCTGATATAATGACACCATCATGAAACTGACTCATATATTCCTGAGGTAATAGTTTGATGCATTTACTGTGAACTAGTGCATTCCTCCATGCTGTATGTTTTGGGCATTCTCTCATTCTGCAAAAAACTTAACTTTAAAGAGAAGGAAAGGTACACTGTGAACAAGTGAATTCTTCAATGCTATACGTTTTGGGCATTCTCTTTCTGCAAAGGCATTAAAATTGAGGGAAAGGTAAAACACTTTGTTTGAATAAATCAGAAACTATTCAGATACCGTCCTCAATTCACTCTGTGGTTTGGTTTATTACTTTTCACTATATTAGTGCTACTGCAGGCTTAAATGGGTATGCATCCCTTTCATCCAAAAGGTCATACCTAAAGAATGGAGTACAAGTAACAACCGTATTAACATTCTCATTCTGCAAAAACTTTAAAAGAGAAGGAAAGGTACACTGTGAACAAGTGCATTCTTCCATGCTCTACGTTTTGGGCATTCTCTCAATCTGCAAAAGCTTTAAGAAGTGAGGAAAAGGTAAGACGCTTTGTTTGTAGAAATTAGGTTGAAAACTCTTCTGATATAATGACACCATCATGAAACTATTCATTTTACATTCCTGAGGTAATAGATTGATGCGTACACTGTGAACAAGTGCATTCTTCCATGCTGTACGTTTCGGGCATTCTCTCATTCTGCAAAAGCTTTAAAAGTGAGGAAAAGGCAAAAAACTTTATTTGAACAAATCAGAAACTATTCAGATACCATCCTCATTTCACTCTGTGGTTTGGTTTATTACTTTTCACTATATTAGTGCTACTGCAGGCTTAAATGTGTATGCATCCCTTTCATCCAAAAGGTCATACCTAAAGAATGGAGTACAAGTAACAACCATATTAACAAAACAAATAACAGATTAACACAATCAACATCAGCATAGAGAAAATACCATACTTTCAGCCTGCACTGTTGAAAACTATTTGTTAATGGTTTACAAAAAGGCTAAACATGAAACCATTTAGATGATTCAGTTTGTAAACTTAAAAAGGACTTGTTTTGGGGGGAGAGGAAATAGTGTAGTCTGTAGTGTTTTACAGGTCAGTTATATTAACAGCATCTCATCACGCAGAATCAGTTTTAGTGGAGGCTCCTGGAAAGAGAGAGAAATTAAATAAATCCACACACAGGATGGAGTCAAACCGCAGACGGGAAAAACATTTAAAACAACTATTTTCTATGGTTTTATTTTAGTAGTGGGCGACATACCCGAGTCTGAACGGTGGTACTTTTCCACATCGGCAGTGTTGTGTCCAGTCCTAAAAAAACAAATAAAAAAAAAACATCTGCATCTCCCTATTGCTGGGGTAAAAAAAAAAGATACCTTCATGGAGGCAGATTATCACCAGAGAATGAGAGGTGCCAACTGCAAATCACTTCTCAAAACAGGTTGGAGATAAAGTTAATATTAAAAACAGGTTTTTGTGTAAGTATGTTTGAAATAAAAATCTCTAAAGCAGAAGGACTTAAAGAGTGTTTCCTTTTTTATTGTGAAAACCAACAATCACATAGTGAGTAGAAGAAATCCTTTCTCTGGCTTGAATTTCAGGTACAATCAATCAAATGAATCACACACAACTGCAAAGAAATGACTATTTGATTTCAAATAAAATACAATTAGAGTTACCTCAAATTGGGGCAGGACATTTAAAACATTAACTCCACTGACAGTAAGATGCAACAGAGACACAGTCCAGTTTTAAAAGTAAGTCCTGATCTATTATTCTGTGACCGAAATGCTGTTCAATCACATTAGTTTTGCAGTTTTTAGTAGGCTGGCAGGTTTCTACAGTAGTAAAAGAGTGAAACAGTTGTGAATCCAAATATTTACAGTAATGTTGTGCACTTAAAAGATCTTTCTCCAGACTGTCCTCTGGATAATCTTTTAGTTTTTCTAAAACATCACAAAAGAAAGAAAAAAATCCCAATGCTTTCTTGCTAAGGAATGAATTAACAGTGTTTAATTTTAAAAAAGAAAAAGCATACAAAGGTTGGTCTGGATGTCAACCCGGCATTTCTGCTGGCAATTAAAAGTGTGAAAACAACATTATCAAGAAAAAGCGCATTAAGATAAAAACATAAAATTGTTCACGTTTTAGTTAGCTATTTAAAAAAAGAAAGAACAAAAATGAGAATAGGCCTGTCCCCTCGCCCCAAGAACCATCTTATAAACAAAAATATATCACCCCATTGTGTGATTCTCAACTTCTCACTAGATAAAATTAAAACTTTTTTTACAGTGCTTTATCATTATATATCTTTGAAAGACCTCAACAAGAGGAAGAACAATTTTAAGTAAAAAATGTCTCTCCTATCGCAACGATATAGCTACATCAGAAAAAGGTGAACGGTCCAGTTATTAAACGATTACAACAAAAATAAAAAAAGGGGAAGGGGGGTGTCAGACAACACAAACGGGAGGAAACGAACCGAGGAGAGGCCGCCGGCAGGGGGGGTCGGGGCGCTGGGAGGTGAAAGAAAGGGGGCGGGGTGTCTACTGCTTGGTGTTGAGCTCGTTCTCCAGCTCCATGAGTTTGCGTGAAGCCTTGACCTTGTTGGAAACCTCCTTCCCCTGCGAGAAGAGGCGCTGGCGCTCCTTGAAGGTCATACTCTCGGGATTGCCGCCGGGGATCGAGTTCTCCTGCTCCTGACTGCACGGAAGTTTCCCACGGGAAAGCAAATATAAGCATCGCATTCTCTTGTTATGCCACGTTATGCAGATTCATCCACCATGAAAGCGAATGAAAAGTCGCACGTCGGGGCGCTCACATTTAATGAGCTACGCACTAAAACAGAACAAACAGGATTTTGTATGGAAAGCAGAAAAGTCCAGTTCATTGAGATTATGTTTTTTTCTTTTTGCTGAGAGGGATCCCATTGTGAAAATGATCAGATTTCTGGTCCACCAAACAAAGATAGCACAAACCTAGAGCTGGCATTTAGGTTTAGTTTGCTTAAATGTGTATGCAAACTTCTTCTCAGAACTCGCGCTGTGCTCTAATGTTGGCGGTAAGTTTGCGTAGTACAGGAAGTTGGTAATTGTATCGGACAACATTTTTAAAGTAACCCTGACTTTAAGTCCCTGATTATACGCATACTTTTAGTATTGCAGTAGAACGCGTCCCATCCACCACTATTAATTAATAGTTGAATAGTTAATTCAACAGTCACAGCACAACAAACAGGCAACTTAACGTTTGATACAAGACAGAGCGCCCTTTATGTGGATGAACAGAGGTTGTGGCGACACATGGTCATTTCCACACGCTCTTGGAATTTTGTTTTTGCTGCTGCAATACACTAGCTCTTCAAATCAGGAACCAGCGAAACGATCGAGGATCTCACCTTTTCGGCCATTTGTCGCGTGGGTCGTTGTAGACTTCTCCCGATCCTACAACTCCTGCCGAGTTTCCAGTGTACGAGTTAAACCCTGTCCGAGGTTCAGCAGACAGACAGATCGTTAATTTTGCGCCTGTTGCCTGAACACATCAGAGACGGAAGCTGCTGGATGTGGAGATCTCTGCTAGGTGTCTCCCACTTACTCCTATGGTTTTAGTTACAGGCGTTTGTGCCTTTCAATCATCATACAAAAAAAAATACTTTTTATTTCCCCGTTAGTGTTGCACGTCTGAGAGTCTCCAGAAACCAACAGCTTCTTCAGTCGTCATCACTTCATTTCCCACAGACCAGCCTAAGCAGAAGGAAGAAAGAAGGAACTGGTTCTGCAGGAGCATTAAAGGAAGAAAACTATTCTCATTAAAGAAGAGAAAAGAGCGTTAAAGGGCCATTCCAAAGCAGCAAAAATGGTCTGTGGACGAGTCGATGGGATCGGAGGCCAAGGTCACCGTCACACATGTCTGACTGCTGATGTCCTGAATCATCTAAAGACAACTGGGTTCATTCTATCAGTGTTTATTTCCTAGTGTTTTATTCAACCTTTAGAGCATATTGAATGAATCAAAGCCATTACATCTATCAGTTACGGTAGGATTCAAGGAATATTTGGATTGAAGTTATGAAGAAAAAGCTCATAACTTGTCTGAAGTCTGTTGTTCAAACTAAGCAGGGGTTGAATCCGACCAGGTGACTGCTGGTATTGACCCAGGAACGACCCACAACCTCAGACAATAAACATTTCAACTCTTATCACGAGTTCAGATGCACAGATGCATGTTGGCTATGGTGTTTCAGATGAAAGGCTGAGCTCAGATGCAGACAGTGACAGGGTGCGAGCCCAGACCCATTCACCCAACTGGCAGCTCCCAAGCACTTTACTTAAGCAGGGGGAGGTCTGCAGTGCAGTTTGAGACGGGATCATGTCCGGTCCCACTTCAGAATGTCTTTGATTCTGGTTCAGTTACTTTGGAGGTTGTCTAACAAAACGTACCGCTTTTTTTTCTCTCTTCCAGCACGAAATTTGAAGACAAAGTTTGAACGTACTACTCCTTTTGTCTCCAGTTTGTGGCCCTTGTGAGCAATACTGGCAGCTGTATGATTTCCTGCATGGAAACAAAGGCCCTTCTGGAGGAGCAGTTTTAATTCTGTTGAAGTCAGAGCTTCGAGAGCTGCCAGCTCAAATCACAATCATTTCAATACATTTTGGAGATCTGCACGTCAGGGAAGCCGGAGACTCAAGTGCCGTTGGGTCACCTGAACCTGCCGCAATGCCCCTCGGTGGACGTGATACGGTTGAGTAAAGCTGCAGCGTTAGAAAGCAGAGACTTGGACTGACAGGCGAAACGAAGGACAAGCTGGGCCAGCTAAGACAGCTGAAACAGGCAGACGACAAAGCACGTACAAGGACTCAGGATATCGGAACAGCAGATTAACAGACACAGTTGGTGAAAGGAAGCAAACACACAAGTAGAGAATTTAAACAGCCTGGTGGAAGCTACGCACAGGCAGGAAAAGCAATAGACATGAAGCCGGTTTCTGGGGTGAGCTGCTGGCAGCCAGAGTGCAGTGTTGTGTGTTTATGTTGCATGTGTGTGTGTGTTTGTAGGGGGGGGGGGGGGGGGACATGCAGATTAATGTACTTCTGAGGGGGGGGGGGGGGTAGGCAGGTACGGGGAATTAGTAAAATGTGGGGGGGGCATGGGGGGGTGTTGTTGTTCCCTGGACCTCAGCTGGTGATAACATTCAGGCTGTGGAGCTCCATTTGTCTGTGGATGCTCAAATACCTTCACTGAGTCGTATCAACTTGTAATGTCAGCACCTTACTGACATTCAGGAACGTTTTGTTTTCTTGAAAGAAACTAATAGGTCTCAATTGTTAAGCAATGTGTAAACAGAAGAAGGAGCTGATTTGATATATGATGCATATATGATGAATAAAAGCTTAATGTTCTCTATTGTTTTTTTGATTTTACTGATGGTCCCTTCTGTGATTCATTACCTCGTTGGCGTAAACTTAAAAATAATACAACAATGCCAGTACACACTGACATTCTTTCAGATAAAATAATTCAGACGGCTGCCAACGGACTGCGGGTCGACCCCTCCACCCTCACTGTCAACAATGAGGCCTGCAATGAAAGCTATCTGGGAATATCATTCGACAAAGAGGAACCAAGTAAATAGGATATTTGGTATTTGATCTGAAGACTGCTGAAGACAAATTCTTTTAGAGGGCACCGTGCATGACCTCAAAAATCTTGAATATAGTTCTGATAACTGCCACTAGGAGGCGCTGCAGTTTGAACAGAGTGAGTTACACAAAAACTCAGTTTAATGGATTTAGATTTTTTATAAAAACAGCCACAGACAAAGAAGATGTCTCAACACACTGATGTGTGTGTGTGTGCATTTAGTCATGTTAATAAAAAAAGAGCGGGCTCTTTTTTTTAAAGTGATTAATGGGTTGTGTGAAGCCAATGGCGGGTCTCCTTCCCTTTAAAGCCAACACCGCGAAGCAGAGCCCCGGGGCAGGAAGGGGGCGGGCCAGTGGACTGCCGGTTGGCTCCGCCCCTCGTCCCAAGCAGCGACAAACCAGACACACAGGAGACGGCGAGCGACAACAACAACAGTACTATATGATTGGCTTTGACGGGTCCCAATCTGCATCAAAGAGTGGTGGCGTGATTATCGATTGCTTTTTTTGTTCGCTAGTGCTGATTGGGGGTGGCTGGTGGGGAGGAACATATGGAGGGGAAAATAAATTACTGGGGGACAGAAGGTGTTCAACAGAAGAAAAAAAATACAATCTGATTTGTTCGGAGTGAGTGATGGAAAATTTCAACACATATGTATATATATATTATATATAAAAATGAACGAACAAAGTAATAAACGGAGGGGACTGATTGACGACGAAAAAAAATTGAACAAACACGTAAAAGGAGGAAAAAGTAGACGGTGGAAATGAAAAAAGGCAGAACTGCCCTCTACAGGAAGGGGAAAACAAATTAAGACAAAGTAGAACTAAACTATGAAGGAGTGGGTAGTAAACGAAGAGATGAGTGAATGAGAGGGAGGTGCGGGAGCCGCGCAGGGCGCCGTGGCGAGCCGGACTCCTCTCTCTGCTCTCTGGGTCTACCTTTAAAGCCTCCCGGGGGAACGGAGCTGGGTTTGGCAGGAAGGGGGGGGCCTGTACTGTTGGAGTTGTATGGCGGCTGGAACGAGCCAGACAGGAAGATGCCGTCAGAAAGAGGGCGGGGCTTGCGCGCAGTGGGCGGCGGCTGAGGCCTGCAGGGATTGGGGGAGGCGGAGGCCGGGAGGTCGCCGTACGACTTCCGGGTCGCCGACAGCTTCACCTGACCTGATTGGTGGCCGCCGCCACTGCCTGCCATTGTGGCTTCCTCCTCGTCTTCCTCGTCGCCCGCGTAGGAGACAAACTTGGCGGTGTAGAGCGTGTCGGGGGAGGCAACCTGGGTTTTGAGGTAGGAGGTGTTTCTCTGTGGTGGGGGCGGGGGGGTGTTAGTAGGGTTGTTGGGGGTGGGGGGTTGGTAGTCCCGGGGCAGCGGTGGCCGATACAGACCGGCCGGCTCGTCAGGCGTCAGCAGCTTTCTCTCGGCCTCCTCATGCTGCCGGCGCCGCTCGGCCTCCAGGCGAGTGTAGTACACCTCCTCCTGTCTCCTCTGGGGGAGGGACAACCTGTTAGTAAGCTCCACTCTCATTGGCTCTCACCGCAGTGTAGGACAATCACTGACTGATCAGCTACAGCTGGGGGAATATTCCAACTAGTCTGAAAGCACCGCTACCCTGCTTTGACCTCCAGTAAAACCACGTCCGTCTCCCACCCGGGTTCACGTGGGCCAAACCGCAGCCGCTCTACTGGGCTGCCATCCAGAACACCAAGTCCTCCAGGGCCACACAACTGACCCATAGCGGTCCTAGATCAGGGGCCTCATTTATCAAATGGTAACACTTTCAATCACAAAGCTTTTTTACCATGCATCTTGTGTGCACTGTCCACTTTGCTGCCGCGATCCTGTGAATTTCCCCATTGTGGGAGTAATAAAGGAATAACTGATCTCAAAGGAATTTCCAGCTGGTTTTGTCAAACTTTGGAGGAACCTTTTCCTGTCATTGGTATGGCAGAGCTTTAAATATGAATTTCAATCAATATACAAGGTTACATTATTAGTTACAGGAGATTCAGGCTAGTCAGGAATCAACTGCATTTGCTGTATTGGCAATATTTTAGAGTTATTCAGGGCTGGGTTTCTCTAATAACAGTCTAATCGGATGACCGCTTATTTGAAAGAAAACGTGAATAGGTTTTAATCAATTTGAGCTGTATAAAAATCACTACAGAGGTTTGAGCCTCTGACAAAAAAAACACAAATTGCTTACAGGTGTCATTTAAAAAATGTTATCAGCTTGTTTAAGAGAATTTATAAATGTTGCCCCTGAACTGCATTTGACCGAACTGGTTTGCCGATTAGATCTGGACTCAACAGTGGGGACGGTACTGTGAATAAGTCCAGGTATCTATCATTACATCCCAGGAAAAGTCTAAAATATACATAGCAGATATTTTCATCAGACTATGAATCTACTCTGACAACTCAACCGATGTGACATGGAACTTGAAGAAGAACCCGTCTCAACTGGTCCATAATAGCTCAAAGCTGGATCTCCCATTTGGCTGTTTGGGGACCACCCTGTCTACCGCCATCTCCCGTTTACATCAACACTGCTCCAGAGTCCGCATCTGTCCGCATATGCCTGTGTATCCTAAATGTACACTGCTGGATTGTGGGTAGGTTTTTTGATTTGGGCCCACCCTGTCTCCACTGGCCTGTGATGATGTTACAGATAAATCTTCGCTGGAGGAATGTGTTTAGGTTTCTGGGTTTGGAGCTTCACCAGCCACTCCGGGTCACATGTGCACAATCTCGATGCTTCTGATGTCAGATCATCATCTCCCCCCCCTGGTCAGTTTCATGTTGTTCAACTCATGTATAACCTCAAGTGCTGAGGATGTATCCTGAGCTGCTTTTGATGGTTGAATCAGCCCAGTTGGAATCTGAAGAAACTGGGAGGTATTAGTGGGTGTGTGGGTTTGAATGACTGACTGTTACAGTATGGATGGCTGAGGGTGGGAATGAGGCACAAGGGTGGGGTAAAGATTTATCTTTGCGTTTGTGTGTGTGCATGAACTAAATCCTTTCTTGGGGGGGGGGGGCGGGCGGCATTCCCTGTACATCGTTTCTGAAGCAATGATGAATCGAAATGGAAAAACAAAAAAAGATAAATTAAAAACTCACAAAATCATAACTGCTTCCACCAAAACAACTGAAATGACTAAACTCCCTGACACACCGACGACAACGACAACCACAACAAGATGAGAGTCCCATGCTCAAGGTGGGTGGGAGCACATAACACGATACAGCAACACGTCACATAGGGTGGGGGTGCCTAAGATGAGGACATGCAATTGGACTCCTTACAGTAAATCTTTACAAAGAAATGTAGCATCATATTAACAGTTATGACACTTTAAAATCAACAGATCATATTCAAAACAGAACTTTTAGATGCATTAACAAACAAATATCTGAGATCCTCAACAAGTGATTAAATTATTATAGGCTTAAGCAAATCAAGCTCTGTTGAGTAGGTTAATTAGGTGAAAGGGTTTGCATACCCTCCAGACATTGTAGAACATTGGACTGATATTGTGTCCTTTTTTCATTTATATTTCCATATATGCCAGTAAGTTGGATCTGTTAAAATAAAGCCCAGGTGGGCAGCATATCTTCCCTGTCCTGTCATATTGTATCATGACAAAACATCCACTCATTAAATCCTTTAGTTTCACAGATAAACAAACAGACCTTCTCTCCGGACTCGTCCCTCCACCTCCTCTCCTCCTCCTGCTTTGCTCGCTCCTCCGCCTCCCGCTTACGAATCTCCTCCAGCTGTTGCTTACGCCTTCGTTCTTCGTCCTGCAACTGATCACACAACCACAAACGGGCACACACACGGGCGCACGCACACACACACAAACGGGCACACACGCACACACACACCAAAAGGCATGGAAACAAGGAAGGAATTAGTACAACATGAATCGCTGACATTCATACAAAAACTTGACTGACAGCTCTGTTTAACAGCTTGGACACTAGCGTCCATGTACATGTTGTGTGTAACGTGGCTCACAGGACTGCTCCGAAGGGTAGGAGCAGTGTGCACTGCAAACACAGCGCAGGCAGGCCGACACGCACGCAGACACACACGCGCCCTGCAGAACATGCAGACACCAACAACATGCAACAAAAAAGAAAGACAGCCCATATTTCAGCTACTTGAGGTGTGTGTTGATTTTGTTTCATACTAAAACATTAAAAGGTCCTTCTGAGAAGAGGAGAAATAAATCAGGCGTACCCGAAGTAGCTGCAAGATAAGTAGGCTTCTGCAGAAATATTCTGATGACAATCCAAACACACACCCAGTGGGATACGCTGACACACAAAACAAACAGACCCTCACTCTGGGGCTGGATGATGGCTAAAAGGTCAGTTCAACAAAATTACAAAACAACATATTTTATATCCATCCTATCCTCAATCCCTTGAGGATAGGATGGATATAAAATATTATTTTATATTAAATTGTATTTATCATAATCATCATCACCTCTATTCGTAATATCATACACAAATATATAAAAATAACTACTTATTTTTTTTCTAAAGAGGAGTTATAACTCTGCGACGTCAGTGAACTTTTGCTTCTGCATATGTAACATCTTGAAGGACAATAAGGGATTCAGTATAAATCTCTCAATATATCTTGCTTTGCTTTTCTCAAGATATTTTTTGGCCCAGCCGTACAGGCTGAAATGTGAGCGATAGAAACTGAACCAAATCCATCTGACCGACAAGGAACCAAACGAAAATATGTGTTTATGGTTTGGTTGATCAGACCCTTTAAAAAGAGAACAGAAGAGGCTCAGCTGGTCAAGCACAGATGGGTGAATGAACATGGACAACACGACATCAGGATGTGGCCCTGGCAGCCAGTGCCGGGGCCTCACAGTACTCTCATGCATGGATCTCCAACTGGACGGCCGCCGTGATGCATTCAGCCATGCAGGCACCACTCCCATGTGCACTCAAAACACCATCAAGAGCCTCAGCTCTGCTGCTCTACTAGAAGATATAATGGAAAGGTTAATTTAACCTCATTTGGATACACCAGAATTTCATAATGTTCAAGTTGTTGTTCACATGTTGTTTCACTAGCCCCCCTCCCCCAAGCAGTTGTTTTGAGTGGACAAAGAGATGGACAGCTTCCCCCAGCCAAATAACATCAACGTCCCAGCACGGCCTTAACATGGCCGAGAGCGCTCAAGGTAATTATGGGACACGCCCTGTCTCCAACCCTCAGCCCCCAACCACACGACCACAGTACTCCAGATGGTTAGGGAGAGACGGATAGGAAACACAGAGAGGTGAGCGACTCAGAAAGGAAACAGTAAGTGATGTAAGGGCAGGGAGAGGATACTCATCATTAACAGGAAGAACATACCAAGTCTAGAACAGAGATAGCTGGGACAGCATTCTGCTGCTGCTGAAGAAAAAGACAGTAGTGTGAAACGGGGAACAGGTTGGTGGGGGTGGTGGGAGGAGGAAGGAGAGATTGAGGAGGAAAAAAAAAAAAAAAGGAAAGGACCCGAAAGTGAAAACATTGTTTTGCCCCAATCCAAATAAGCACGGCTCGACCGAAGCGCTAATTAAAATACAACTCAATAAAGCTACGTACATGCTAAGTACTATTTTTTTTCCTACTTTTTGTTTTCCAAATGAAGTACCACTGCGGAACTGCATTGGGCTTTTGTAGCCTCTTGATACATTTTACTGTTCGTCTTTTGTTTTATTTGAACTTGATTTGAATAGCGGGCAACACGGTGGCGTGGTGGTTAGCACTGTCGCCTCACAGCAAGAAGGTCCTGTGTTCGACTCCGCCCAGTGGCCCTGTGTCTGCGTGGGTTCTCTCCGGGTTCTCGGGCTTCCTCCCACAGTCCAAAGACATGCTCTGGGGATCAGGTTGATTGGGGACTCTAAATTGCCCGTAGGTGTGTGAATGTGAATGGTTGTGTGTCTCTGTGTTAGCCCTGTGATTGGCTGGCGACCAGTCCAGGATGTACTCAGTCTCTCGCCCGAAGTTGGCTGGGACAGACTCCAGCCCCCCCGCGACCCTGTGTGCAGGATAAGCGGTGAATGGATGGATGGATTTGAAAAGCAACAACTTTGCGTGCAAGAAACTTTTTTGTCCCATCTTATCAGAAGGATGGGTCTCACCACTGAATATATATATGAACTATTAAGATCCAAGCTTGTATCAATCTAATCATGCAAAAAACGGACCGGCAGGGACAGTATTATTACATTACAGGTCATTTCGCTGACGCTTTTATCCAAAGCAACTTACATTGCATTTTTTAAAATGTATTTTGGCATGGCTTTTTACATTTTTGCCCAGGGAGCAATTAGGGGTTAGGTGTCTTGCTCAGGGGACACTTTGACATGGAACATGGGGCAGCCGGGGCTCAAACCGCCAACCTTGTGGTCAAGCACACCCTCTCTACCCCTGCGACCCCCTGTATGATGCATACTGTAAATTTGAAGCACTCAACAGAGTTGAGATTATGATTATGAGCCTGTTGCTGCACAAATGACTGTCACAAAAATGAAATCATCTTCTGTTTTTGTTTTTCCCCAACTCATTCAGACTCAGACCCTCAACTCAGCCTAAAGGCTTCCGTGTAAACGCACAGCTACAGCCATAAAAAGAGCTTTTTGGAACGGCATCCTATGGAATCCAGAAGATCAGTTTAAAAGTATGTTATTACAGAAAGAAGAAAGTAAACTGACCACATGAAGCAACCATCAATCCCACACTCAAGCCCCACCCTCACAGAATCAACCGTTTCGAGCTACACCCTTCCACATCCATCACAGCCACTCACACAGAAACGTTAAGGAGAGAAGGCTGCGCCAGAATTAAAAAAAAAAACAACAATTTTTGGAAGCAACAGGAATTTCCAGAAACATTTATGGAATCTTGAAAGTCATTTTAGCTACACGCCATTTCTCTAGAATACAGAATGAAACAAGACGAGAAGAAATGATCATACCGTCCTTCCCTTGACATTATCCAGAATTATCTAATTCAATAATCAGGTAATCCAAATCCTCTCCAACTTTGTTTAATTTCTTTAATATGTGTAATTAAGACTTGGGGTTGATGGTTCATATTATTCATTTGCATAATATGAAAGAGATGCTGGATACAAGTGATTAAAGTAGTAACCGCTTTAAACTAATTTCACAAGTTGTTTTTACAAAATGACGCAACGGTTTGCTATAAATCATGAACTGCTATTGCTCGCTTAGTGCTGAGTGTATGTCATGACACACTACCTGTTGTACCAAAATTCACAGTTATATCCACATGAAGGGAATACCGCATTAACAACCCCCTCACCAGCCCACCCAAAGCACCCATCCACCCCTCCAGCAAATCAGATTGAAGCAGCTTAGCATGGCAAAGCGATGAGAGAAGCATGTTGCAGATGCACACTGCAGACCCTTCATAGTAGAGCCACACAGGAATCTATTTCTCCTCTTTAGCATTTGAAAGATGGCTTCTCCCCACATCAGCCTGACTTCCTGTGTCTCCCCCCTCTTTGCGTGATGAGCTACAGATTTATCTCTTAACATAGAGCTGAATAATATTTTAAGTCAGATAATTTCAGCAAAAACAGATTTCCTGTCTTTCTCTGAATTCAGCAAATTTTCGTTTTCACTCTCTCTTTTCACTCACCCTCAGCATGACCCGCCTACTTTCTATATCCTTTTCCCACCCGCACGCACCACCATCCACTGACCACCAACCCCATCTCACCCTGGCTCTCTTCTCAGCCTCCAGCCTCTGCATGATCATCATGGTGTCCACTTCCTCGTCGTCCTCCTCCTCCTCGTCCTCGTCGCTATGCTTGGACTCCTGCAGTCGTTTCTGGAACTGCCACTCCAGCATCAGCTTCCTCAAACGGTCGCTTTCCTCTGCTGTCCGCTCCGGCTTTGACTGAAAAACAACGTGTTACAACTGTTATTTGTAAATCCATAGTGTGTGTGTGTGTGGGGGGGTCGGGGGGGGATAAGTTCTCCCATCCTATGAATGGAGCTTAAATTGAGTCTACCTGCAGCTCCTGGATCTCTTTGTCCAGCAGGTCGACGATGTGAAGTTGCTGCTGCTTCTCGGCCTTCTCGCGGGCATCTCGTTTCCATGGGTCTGGAGACAGACTGTCACTGGACGTCGGGTCCTTACTGATGGTGATGTACTGCAGGTCTCGCCTCTCGATGGTCCGTGGCTGCTGCTGCGGCAACAGGTCCCTGATCACCGTGTCCATGCCTAACAGTAAATTACATTTAGTTTCAGCATTTCAACAGGATTCTTGAGGTCCTTATCAGGAGACGTTTGGACTTGAAAGTGTTACCCGGGTTAGAGGTACTGGCGGGGGGAGGAACAGCTGACCGAGGCAGGCTGGACAGCTTGTCCGGTCTGGATGGAGGAGGTGGGGGCTGAGGCTGTGGGGGGATATAGGGCTGGGGCGGGGCCACGGAAGGCAGAGGGGGCTGGTGGTGTGGAGGAGGCATGGACCCGCCGTTGTTGTGAGGTTGGACGGGCATGACGGGGTTGGCGCGGATCTGACCCAGCTTCCTCTCTTGCTCTCTCCTCTTCCTCTCCCTGGCAAATCATCAGCATTTATTTATTTATTAGTGTGAAAGTCATGAATTTGATCAACCTTTCCTCTTCCTTTGTATGTTACATAAAGTCTATTGTGAGCGGCTGATTTCTGGTTCTGAATTAATATCTTTGTTTTACGAGTTAACGCGTCTTTCACTTTTTCTAAAACCGCCTACATAAAATGTTCATGTGTGTGTGGCATTATTTGGCTTGCTAAATCTAATAAAGCATGAATAAAAATGACAAACGAACCCCCACCTCTCTTCTTCTAGCCGCGCTTTCTCCTTCTCATACCAGCGTTGTTGCTCCTCACGTTTCTTGCGGTCAGCAGCTTGCTGGGCCGCTACGAAATTAATGGCGGTGGGAGGCGGCGGGAGCGGCAACTCCGGTTGGGGCTCGTAAGCGTCGTAGGCGTCGGGGTAAGCGGCCGGTGGGGGGGGTGGAGGAGGGGGCAGGTCCGACCGAGACGGCGTCTGGGCCGGATGCTGCGGCACAGCGTGGGGAGCGTTGGGCGTCTTCCATCGGCCCGGTCCAGTCTTCTGGTTCGGGGTCTTGTTTGAGGAGGACGAGGATGCCGAAAAGTTCAGGTGCTCCTGGCTCGACGTGGATGACTCCACTGAGGAGGACACCTGCGGCTGAGAGGCCCAGTGGTCAGGACCACCGACACCTGGGGACACACCAGCAGTCAGTGGTCGTCTGCAGATAGGAGACTAGAGAGGTTCTCAAATGGGGGTACGTGTACCCCCGTGGCTACGTGGGGGCACTGCAGGTGGGGACGTAAGATTTTTTTTTAAATTAATATATATAATTAATTTTTTAGGGCAGCGATTCCCAAAGTGTGGGCCACTGGTGGGCCCACTGGTGGGCCGCGAATGTACTGCATGCGGGCCGAGAGAGGTCATTTACAATAAATGAAAAAAATGTTTTTAATTTTCAATATTGAAAAGTTTGAAATCAATATAAAATTATTTATGATTTAAATTACGTGTTATTGCGGCCTTGATTCTTGCCTTGCCCTTTTGGATCAGTTTGCTGTGTATATAGTTGTACATTAAACCTATTTGTAACACTATATTGTGCAGGGAAGTAGGGAGTTTGGACATTTTCTTTCTTTTTGTCATCTGTTTTTGTTAGATAGGGAGTTAGGGAAGAACGGTGTATATGTATTTATTTTTTGTTTGCTTAGGTTAGTTAGTTTCCTTTTAAAAGTAAGAGGTCTTTTGTATTTTATTTTGGCCCTGTTGGCTCCTCAAGCTGTTCTCCCAGCCCCAAATAAATACAAAAAAAACAAACGCAAAGTTGGATAGTGGGCTCGCTCTTTTCTGTTGCGTCCTGGTCGTAACATTTGGGTTGCAAATTTCTGTATTTTACTTAAAACGGTTGATAAGATACAAAACGCACATCTTTTTCTCAGTAGTATAAGTATTGGTACAATTCTAGCGGCACATTAGTTATGTGAAACATTAATTGATGAATCGCAAACAATTTAAACAAACAGATTAATAAAACAATAAGGCTCTCGCTCGAAACGGCTGCTCTTGTCCGCCTGTCGTTATTCAACAAAAGGCGCCGCCAAACAAAACAATGTCAAATGGGGCGCCCTCTTGTAGTATTAAAGTAAATATATATGAGCTCTGGAGAAAATTGTATATAAAACATACATTGTTGGTTAATACATTTTTAATCAGTTAAATTCTTAAGGTCATTTAATCATCCCTAGTTTATGTTTTGATCAGAGTTGTGATTAAAGGTTTGGGTGGGCCACAAAAGATTTTCAGATTTCAAATTGGGCCGCGGCATTTTTGATTTTGGGAACCGCTGTTTTAGGGGGTAAATCACTAAAACAATGTTAAGAACCACTGGACTCTCACCTCCTGGTGGACCTCTCTGATAGTCCAGGTCCCTGTGCTGGTAGTCCTGCTGGTAGTGCGGCTGCATGCGCTCGTCTGGCCTCAGACCTCCTGGTGGAGGGTACAACTCCTCCTGGGAGTGGTTTATACGCTGGGAAAAGATGAAGATATTGAGTAAGCGAAAAAGGGGCAACAAATCAACATATTTAGTTGAACAATTCAAACAAATTCAGACATCCCCATTGTCTATTGACAACAATAACAAGAAGAAAGATATATCTGTATATGCCTACTTTCATTTCTAAAATACTCAGAAGTGAGTTATTGATTCATTCAAATATTCATGATGGTATTTTATGGGATTATGTCCGATGCTGCTCCACCTGCATGCTGCTGTTGTTGTGAATGTTGTCGACCACGGGGAGACGTTCCCTGTCCTCCACGCCCTGCCAGTGCTGCGAGGGCCCCTGTCCCGGAACAACAACAACCCGATCCTGGCTCTTGGAGGCCGGGATGGTGAAGTACTCCCTGGGGTAGGTCTGGGTGGGGATGGGGTAGGCCTCAGGACGGGGAGGGGAAGGCTCATCCTGGTCAAGCAATAAAGAAAAGAGGAAGAGACAGATTAGTGTGTGGAGAGAAAGCATGTGGGACACCCTCCCAACACCAAACAGGCTTCTCATCAAGATGCCCCGGCCTTCCTTGCTGCAGGTACTTACGTCTGCACACAGGTTCCCGGTAGAGACGGAGGTGATCTTGGTGCCGGGTCCTCCGGGGTAAACTGCTTTTCCTGCAGGGCTCTGGCCCTGATCTGATGGTGGAGCAAGAGAGACAAGTGTTGTTAGTACAGTCAGAAGTAGGAATGTTCAAAACTAATCTTTGAACTTTCAACTGTTACTACCTTCATTTTAAACAAATATGAATATTTGTTTCAATTTATTTATGTAAAAAAAAATACAGGTGAAGAGCTAATGAGATCCTCGGTGCTATCAGTGTGTGTGTATTATGCACAGCGAGTCTAATCTAATCAACATGTTGCTATTTCTGAACAAAAAACAGTGGACGAGCAGTTTGTTATGAAAACATTCCAATCAAAGTGTACTGGAGTCCTTAATAAGATTTTGGGAAAAACTCACTGCCAAATTGAGTGTTAGATTTAAAACCATTTCATGCTCAGTGTACTTTATACAGTTGTCACGGCTGTCACCGTGGTCTGTATTTCTCCGTCTTGTCTTGCCTGTACCAAGTAGGCTGTGCGGCCCCGTGGACTGAAGCCCCGCCTACTTCCTAGTTTCGGTGGAGCTCTGGCAGGATCACTCCAGCTCCACCCATTGGTCCGCCCTGTCCCAGCGCACCCAATGGCACGTCACCACCTCAGCCTTACCTCCAGCTCTTAAAGAGAGCCCACCAGTGGCTCGCGGCAGCTCGTCACGGCCAGTTGACTTGTGTGCCTCCTGTGTGCGTATTTGTGTGCAACTGAGTGAAGTACTGCGTTTTTGGTTCTCGTGTGTTTTTACCAGCACGGGGCTGGCAAAAGGGGGGAGTTAGGGCAAGAGTCGATACTGATTCACCACACGTAGTTTTTGTGCCTGTTAGTTTCATAGGTGTAGTGGGTGCCGTGCTCCGTGTGCCTTTTGCTACGAGCCACCTGTTTGTTTAATGTAAATCCGGCATAGTCCCGCCTGTTGGGGATCTCTTTTGTTTAACTTGGTTTGTCTTTTTCACAGCACCCTCATCCACCCTCCTTTTGTTTGTCGTTACAGTGGCTTGTCTTTCTTCTGGTTGCCAATAAATCCTACCTTTTACAACCGACCAGGTTCTGCCCATATGTTTATGGTCCCCTCACCCCTAGACCACCTGGGGGTCGTAACATATATGGGGGCTCGTCCGGGATCCCTTTCTAGAGGAATCCCAATTGGCCCAAGATTGGTCGCGTAGTAAATTTGTGTGACTAGCCGGAGCGGAGTACGGTAACGAGGTGCCGCTTGCCTGAGTGAGCCTCATGGCCACTTCCCAGTTTGACCTTGAAGCTTTCCTAAGCCAGCCCTCAGTGGAGCAGTTTAATGTGTGTCGGAAAGATGATTTGCTCCAGTTAGCAGCCCACTTTGGCATCTCTGTTCCCAAAACTATTCTTAAAAGGGTGTTGAAACCTTTGCTATCGTTAGCATTAGTCGAGAGGGGGATAATTGTAGTGCCAGACCTGCCAGAGAAGGAGCTCATGTTCCCGGTTGCTGGTTCAGCTGCCAAAGGGGAGGTCACGCCTACCCCTGACCGTGCTACAGACGTATCGGATACCGACAGAGCAGGTGAGAGGCCTGCGACTCCTTTCACCCTGCCCAGGTTTGATCCTTCCTCTGTCAGCAGTGCTCACTCGCTAGGAGGAGCGCGGCTAAAGGTTCGCCTTGCCCGCCTCCAGTATGACGCACAAGACAGGGAACGCCAGATGCATTTCCAACTTGAGGTACGGCGAATGGAGATTGAGGCTGACCAGGCGGTGCGACTGCGGACGCTAGAGCTCGAGAGCGCCAACGCAGCCATGGCTGGTGGGGCCACGGGTTCTGGTGGTACAGCTTCTCTCCCGCACTCATCCAAATTGGACTCGGTAAGTCCAGGATTTGATGTTGGCAAAAATATTGCTTTAGTACCTTGCTTCCGAGAAGCTGAAGTGGACTCGTACTTTCAAGTTTTTGAGCAAATAGCCTTGGCGTTAAAATGGCCGCCTGAGGTCTGGTCTTTATTGTTGCAGTGCAAGCTACAAGGCAAAGCACAGGAGGCTATCGATTCCCTATCGGTAGAGGATAGTACAGATGAGATAGTTAAATCAGCAATCTTGCGAATTTATGAGCTTGTGCCCGAAGCTTACCGACAAAAATTCTGGTCACATAAGAAACCAGCAACGCAAGTTACACAGAGTTTGCCCGAGAGAAAACCATACTCTTTGACCGGTGGCTTGCGTCATCTAGTGTAGCTGGGTTCAGTGCACTCTGGGAACTTTGCTTAGTAGAGGAGCTTAAACGCTGTCTACCAGAACGCATAGTGATGTACTTAAATGAACAAAAAGTGTTAACGTTATCTGCTGCAGCTACGTTAGCGGATGAGTACATGCTAATTCACAAACCAGCCTTTCCTCAGGTTGTAGACAGTGCCCGCCGCGGAGATCTAAACCAGTCTAATCCTCCTAGGCACCCCAGTCTGAAGGAAGAAGAGCGCCGTTGTTTTTATTGTCATAAGAGTGGACATGTTATTGCTGATTGTATGACTTTGAAACGCAAAGATCAGCTGTCATCGCGTGTGCATCAGCCCAAAGGTGTCGGGTTAATTAACGATTCGCAAAGCCCTAAACTAAACTGCGACAACCAAAGTGAGGTTGATGCCTGTTTTCGCCCATTTGTACTCGAAGCCCTTATTTCACTGACAGGATTGCCAGCAGACCAGCAGTCTGGTAAAGTGCTACGAGACACCGCCTGTTCCCTATCAGTTGTGTTGGCTTCTGCGTTACCCTTTTCAGCTGAATCCGCTTGTGGATTCGCGTCCATCTTAAGGGGCATTGAAATGGGATATGTGCCTCGGCCTGTGCATAAGGTACACATCCAGTCTGATCTCGTCAGTGGGTTTTTCCCAGCAGCAGTGTGTGATGAACTTCCCATACAGGGTATTGTGCTGCTCCTGGGAAATGACATAGCCGGGGGTAAAGTTACTCCAACTTTGGAAGTGTGCGATGTACCAAGGGTTCCTAGCTGCGGCACCGAGTTACCCAAAGTATTTCCGGCCTGTGTCGTCACTCGTGCGCAGGCACGCCAGTTGGCGTGTGAGTCGGATATTTCGCTAGCTGGTACAGTGTTTTGTGAGCCTTTTCAGACCGCTGATTCAACTCCAGTGACGGAGCCAGCGTTGGTGAGTGCGAGACCGAAACGTCCCCTTCCTCCCCACCACTGCCAGCTACAAGAGAACGCTTGGCCGTGGCTCAGAGAGAGGATCCAACCTTACGGGCCTGCTTCAGTGTTGCGACATTTCTTCTGGCCTGGGTTGAAGACAGATACAGCTACGTTTTGCCTGTGCATCCGTACCGTGCAGCATCCGTACCGTGCAAATCTAATGAGGCGTGATGTAATGAAAGGTGAGGTAGAGTACCTCCTTCAGCATGGCCTTGCCAAGCCTAGTTCCAGTCCATGGAGTTCTCCATGTCTTGTGGAAAAGAAGTCTGATGGTTCACCGAGATTTATCACAGATTTTAGAAAAGTTAATGCCGTCACTGTGCGTGATTCGTATCCCTTGCCGCGGATGGAAGATTGCGTTGATGCCCTCGGTACAGCCGTGTTTGTGAGCAAACTAGATCTCTTAAAAGGATACTGGCAAGTCCCTCTTACTGAGCGTGCATCTGAGATCTCAGCCTTTGTGACTCCAGATGACTTTTTACAGTACACTGTGATGGCCTTTGGGATGTGCAACGCTCCCGCTACCTTCCAGAGATTAATAAACACAGTGCTAGCCGGTGTTAGAAACCGTAATGCCTATATGGATGATCTCATTATCTACTCAAATACCTGGGAGAGTCACATGCTCACCCTCTTGGAAGTGTTTTCCCGCCTTGCCCACGGCAACCGTACCATTAACCTCGCTAAATGTGAGTTTGGGAAGGCCACTTTGACCCATCTAGGCCGTCAAGTTGGCCAAGGTTCGTCCAGTGTAGGCAAAAGTGGAAGCTATTGCTTCAAGTCCAGTTCCAGCCACTCGTAAAGCGTTGCGCTCGTTTCTCGGTCTGGCTGGTTACTACAGAGCTTTTTGTAGGAACTTCTCGTCTGTGGTCGAACCGTTGACCAGGTTGCTTAGCCCTAAAGTCGACTTTGTGTGGACCCCAGAGTGTCAAGTAGCGTTCGATAGTGCTAAGTCCCTCTGCCACGCTCCCGTCCTGGCTGCCCCAGACTTTTCAAAGTCTTTTAAGCTAGAGGTGGAAGCCAGCGCTCTGGGACCTGGTGCCGTGCTTCTGCAGGAAGATGTAGAGGGTATAGACCATCCTGTATGTTACTTTTCGAAGAAGTACAACAGCCATCAGCTTAACTATTCGACCATCGAAAAAGAGACCCTTGCTTTGTTGTTGGCCTTACAGCATTTTGAGGTCTATGTGGGTTCCAGCTCTCTGCCGGTGGTGGTTTACACGGACCACAACCCACTCATGTTTCTGGCCCGTATGTACCACCATAACCAGAGACTTATGAGGTGGGCCTTAATGGCACAGGAATACATCCTGGAGATACGGCACAAGAAAGGTCCAGAGAACATTATTGCAGATGCCTTATCCAGACTGCAAACCTAATACAGCAGCAATGTGTTTGAGTCTAGACTGTCAAATTCCAAAACTTGGTTTGTCTTTTTCACAGCACCCTCATCCACCCTCCTTTTGTTTGTTGTTACATGCTTGTCTACCTCTGGTTCCCAATAAACTGTACCTTTTACAACCGACCAGGTTCTGCCCATATGTTTATGGTCCCCTCACCCCTGGGGGTCGTAACACAGTCCAACAACATAGAGACACATGCACAAGACAGAGAAGACACATTCCGTAGTAACTGTCCGACCGGAATAAAGGCTGTGGCAGGTAACGGAGCTTACTGGCTACGTTAGGGCTGGAGCGGTGGTCGGCTCGGTTCTTGAAAAGTCTATCCTCTCCACTCATCTTCTTTGGTTCGGGGTAAGAGTCCCAGCCGCCCTGCGGACTCTCAGGTGAGCCGTTCTGCACAGAGTTGTTGTACAGCTCAAAGCCTTCACTCTTTGGTCGCAGTTTCCCGTTCTTGTCACGGCCTCGGTCTGATGCTGGAGAGAGAAAGGGGAGAGAATGGATGTGCGACACGTCTACACCTTTTCTGTGTATTTTCAGGCTTTTCTATCACATACTAACCCAGAGGTACTTATTTTGTTTATTTTGAAAACATGCTATAGCTTTTCTTTTAGTTTCTATCCATTTCTCTCCTCCCCTCTTACACAGCAGTACATTTCTTTGCTTTCGCATGCCCCGTGCTGGGTCCACTGTGACCTATTGTTCTGTCGGTAAGACTGGAGAAGTATCTCGTACAACCGCTGTTTCAAAACATCTGGCCCGTCCCTGCAAGTGCACCAACGTCTTTCCCTTCTGTGTACCTAGTTTTGTTTCCCAGAGTCTGTGAGAATCTACACTTCTCCGTGTCCAGTTTCCTCTCATTAAGTTTACTGAAGAATGATCAGCGTCCTTCACAGCCCTGTGGTTCAATTTCACTGCTCTGGCAAACGCAGCGTGGTGAGGGAATTTGGGAGAAACACTCATTTAGCATCATTCTGGACTGCTGGCCAGGCCGGCCGCAGGACTTCCTTAATGAATCTCAGGTCACATTCCATCAAACACGAGACCAGCACACAGCCAGACAAGCCAGTAAACTCTATGCCGTGTGCTTGTGTGTGTGTGTGTGTGGACACACATGCAGATTGTCTCAGACGCTCACACATAATTGACTCCGGCCTTAAACACTCATTATGTCCTTTAGTCTGCAAGCTGTTTTTACAGCGCTGCAGAGAAGACAACAAGGACACACTGTCTGGACAAGTCGGCTTCCCCCCTTTCATTCACATCACTGCCGATAACGGAGCGTGTGCTGACAGTAGTCCATTCATGACAACTAAGTCCAAGTTAAACAGCATCAATGGGAGAGTTTTAGAAAGTCAAACCTAGGACTTATGATCTTCTTAAATATATCAAGTTTAGGACTTTTGTGATGTGCTTGATTGTTAAAGGACAGTTTTATATTCAAATTGGAAGTAAAGCCATATGTGTTTATTATTATTATTATATACACAGCTTTTTTGGACTAATCAAAAATTCATAATGAAATCAAAAGTTAAGACATTTCCTCAAAATCACAATATAAAAAAAGAAATTAATATTATAACAACAAATTCAATGCCTTAGTTTAGTTGTTTCCTCAATTGAGGCAATTTTATGTTTTCAAGGGAAGCCTTAAAATACAAAACATCATGTAACTGTAAAATGAGAAGAAACTAAACTAGTTTAGAGGCCTCTGTAAACATTTTGCAGGTGTATATCTGTGAGTGTGTGAGTGCGTATGTGTGCGCTCACCTCTTTGCATCATGGGGCTGGGCTGGTTAAGGAGAGTGGCCAGTCCGTGGTAAATGGCTCCCTGCTTGGCGACCTCCAGAGTCACAACTGAGCCCGTCCTCGTCATCAGCTCCGCTGCCCTGAGGAGGGAGAGGGGAGGGGGGGTTTGAGGGAGGGAGAAAGCAAGAGCATGAATATGGAACTCAACGTCAACAGAGCTGATAGTATGTTTCCGTCTGTTGGTGTAGGCATACTATTTCTACAATATAGAATCAATATTGATAATATTCCATTTAGCTGCAATGATTATTTATAAGGTCTATAAAGGTGATCATAAAATTGCATTAAGTCATCTAAATAACAGTGTGCACTGTAGCGTTTAATCATATTGTCCGGTGTTGGTCAAAGTACTCCTATCTGGTACTTAAGCTAAATTAGCGCTGGAAAATACAAAATCCTAAATACATTCTATAAGCAGAGGACCAGCAGATCACACATCAAGTAATGCGCTACATGCGTTTGATTGGATAGAAGTCGGGGAATGCAACATCCACTGCTTGATGCTGAGCAGAGAACCGGCTCTAAACCCACGTTTGGAAACACGCCAGTCTTAACCTGCAGGACAGGTGATGACCACAGGAAGACTGATCTTTCAATAAAGAGCATGTCACCGGAGTCTAATTCCATGTATGCGTCAGCATACGTGGGAGTTATAACGGTAAGAGACCACACAGAACACCAGGCCTGCACATGCTGAGGGAGAGAGGAAAAACTCTTCATCTGGGTGGGCTGGTAGCCACCGAGCACTTCACAGCTGTTTGCAAAACAAACACACCCTTTTTCTGCATGGTCTTTGGAAAAATGTTATTTTTTACAAGGAAATTTTCACGCCAAAATGCTTTTAGGGTGTTGAACCACAAGATGTCGCACAATGTGGTTATCATCTGACGTCAGGTCAAGTATATTTAACTTTTAAATGTTTTTAAGAGAATCCATTATATATAGAATCCAATTGGAGTTTGTTATGGGCATGATCAAGAATACGTCAACACGGTGTGGTAAGTGGTTGATGATTAAAAAAAAAAAATCCCAGTCTCCCTCGTGGTGGAATTTTTTTATATGGACATTATGATTAGCTTTCAAGCATTTCAGCTGGGATTTCCAATTCTGCTAAAGGAAATCCGCATAAGACGACAATTAGGTGGCAGCACATTACAGGATTTCTGAACACTGCAGCCAACCAACCACACACAACACACAGACACACACACACACACACATCGTCAGTACTCGGGAGGGTTGACTACAGATTGGATGCTGTATTTACCTCTCTTGTGATAAACCAACCAAGCTGCGCCCGTCCACGCTCAGCAGCTGGTCACCTGCAGCCAAACGGCCGTCCTGCAATAACACACACGCCACAGCATGAGTCCTTGGGCGTCTTTTCACTCAAACGTTTCGGTTATGGTTCAAGCCTTTGTGTGCGTGTACACCAACCACATCAGCTGCTCCTCCTTTGACAACCGACTTAACGTAGATGCCCAGCTTCTCCTGACCAGCACCCTAGAGAGAGAGAGAGAGAGAAAGCGAGAAAGATAGAGAAAGATTAATTAATAAGGCAACAAGAAAACATGGCACAAACATGTATATGCAGAAAACATAAGCCGTTATATTAAAAACAATGAAGAAGGGGAAAGGGAGCATTTCTGAGGATTATTGGGGCAGGAGTTTGGTAATTCTACAACAGGAAATGTAACTTCCCGTAAGCGTTGCTAATAGAACATTGGGGGCTCATATTAACAACTCATTGGCTTGAAGGGAGTCCAGCACCGCTAGGAATTTGAAAACACATTTTATTACCCAGTAATTCTAGATTGCAGACACTGAACACAGAAGGGACGGATTAGAAAACTATTGTATTCTGAACACAGACGCTTTTATCCAAAAGTTCACAAACGTGTCAAACTGGAACATTGAGACATTTTTAGAGCAGTCACCAGTGTTCTTATCTCCCTTCTCTTGTATTCTGGGGTTTGCTGCTGAACTCAAACAATCAAATCTACCGGAATCTGTTTATTTTCTCTAAACCAAATCCTTTCTACACCAAGAAGCACCCGAGCATCAGAGAAAAGAGATTCAGATGAAAAGAATGAAAAGGGAGAGTGTGTGTGTGTGTGGTATTCTTGTGAAGCGGGGAGGTGGTTTACAGTGCAGAAAAGTGCAGGCATGTTATCGGACAAATCCCACGCTTTCTGACTTGACATGAAACCCCAGAAATATTTGCTTCATCAAGAAACAGCCGTTCTAAATGTGAAACTACCTTTACACTTAAACACTTCCATGATTAAAAATCAATTAGTTGGTTTGTCTAAAGCCTGAACCGAAGAGAAAAATGAAACATCTCATCTTGTACATCGACTGTGAGACTCGCTTCTACTTTTGAAGCAGTGGGCGTGAAGAACGCCTCACAATGAGCTTCAGACGGCAAAACATCCGAGACATTAACAGCCACAGCAGGTCTATGAACTTGCTCATAAAACAAGGACTGGGTTAAAACACTTCTAATTGCTGATATTCATCAGACCTGGCACCATGGCTCAGATAGAGAGAGAAGGGGTGCGTGTGTGTGTGTGCATGCAAAACCACAACTTGTAAAGTAAAAGCCGGGTTAAACTCAGGTTAATAGCTTTGAATTTGTGCGGGTGACATGTACTAACTGTTTTATCAGCTGTGGTGCAGAGGATAAGGATGACAGTTTTCCCTCAGTTCAATTCTAGACTTTTTTTGATCACACCTCATCCTCACTCTTACACTGGTCAAAGAATACGATTACTTATGAAGTACATGAACGTGTATACAACTATATTTCAGTTTTTCTCAGCTCATAATAACAAAAGATCAAGTAATAAGTCATCAGGTAATGCCACACGAGTCCACATAAGTGCTGACACTTGTCATTTCAATAAATTAATTCCAAAATAATCTAATGAGTAAAAGGTAGAGTTTACAGTTTGTGGTTTGCTCAGTACGAGTTGAGCTACTGAGGATAGCAGTAAGATTTAAGATTTTTTAAGAGCTGTAAATAGCCCGAACGATACGTCACATTATTGCAAAATAGTCCTTGGTTTCATTTTTTTATTCTATTAAAATATGGTGTGAAATATCATGATCACAAATGTTTAAAAGTTATCTTGTAATTGAAAACAACCACAGCAGGAGGTTGATTTAGTCATTATCACTTCAATTACGTGGTGTTATCAGATGGAGGCCTTTATTCAATTTCTTTAAAATGTATAATGTAACATGAAGAATCGTGCGATATGATCAAAAACAACCATTAAAAATACACCTTCTAGCTCAGATCTTTTGTTCACAAGTATTACAATTACTCTCTAACGAAAATGTTTGCTTTCTTCCAGCAGGAAACAACTGTTGAACATGTGAGCTCAAAAAGGTTCAAAACGATCAGTTTGTTAAGAAATAACAATGAGCTCTGTGTTCTATCTAAATGAGACGAACGTATTCTGGAGCGTTTGCATTGCAGGATATACTTCTGCCAAATGTTATTTTGAGAGTGAGAACGTATTATTAATTTTGGGTCAGTTTTTACAAGTCAGGCTTTACAAGTCAGATACAAGTTCTGCTTTTATCTGCGTTATTCTACTCACTTGTTCATCTTTAACTATGTGAACTGAGTGAATCAAGACATTCTGGATTTGTCTCTTCCCTCCATCATCCACATAACTGTGTCCCTCTTTCACTAGTACAAAAAGACAGCTGGCCTTCAAAGTATTTGACCCGCAGTGTTTCCGCTCTGTGTGTGCATGGTGTGTGCGTGTGCACGTAATAATGAGGCTGGATTCATTCAGGCGAGAATTCCCTGCAAGTGACATTGAGATGAGAGAAGGACAGTGAATCATTCTGATTGTTTAACGTCTGTTGTACATTACAGAAGACATTAAAGAGACCCTTGTTTCAGATGGAGCCACCATTTCCTTATCCAGAATGGGGGGGTGGGGGCTGGGGCGCCAAATCAGGCCCCAGACACTTGGGGAAATTTGCTGAACCCCAGCGGAGGCTGTGCAGAGGGGCTTTTAGTGATTTGAATGGCTCCCGGGGGGGGTTCAGAATCTGCTGCATCAGTTTGATTTCGCGTGAGTTTGTCGAGCTGAAGACTCATGTAACACTCAGTGGACATGTTCATATATCAAAAGAGGAAGGGACTAATGTGTTGTAGCTTGAACGTTCACATGGCTAAGTCTAGATGTATTACCTATATATAAAGAAAGAAAAAAGACCAATTCAAAGCTGTTGTCTGCCTTGAAATAAAATGCCTGCACGAGACCGAAATATATGTTTTAAAGAACTTTTTTAAGAAAAGAGGTCACATGCCTCCACCAACCAGTCAAGTCGAGTCAGCCTTCTGTGTGAAGTTGTCATACATGAATTCCTAAGCTATGGTCAAAAATGCTTTTGTTAGGTCACCGTGACCTTTGACCACCAAAATCGGTCCATCTTTGAGTCCAGGTGGACATTAGCGGCACATACAATGAGATTCCCTCCAAGTGCTTCTGAGGCTCAGTGCCACAGACGGACAGAACATGGGCCTCCGGCACTAGAAGGCAAACCTCGAGGATGTATGGACATGTGCACGTGTTGACACTTATAATGAAGCTTTAAACTTAGTTGCTGTTGTTGAAGCGTCACTCCGAGTAAGACATGATGTGTGACATGAACATCAACCGAGCAGACATAAAAACCGTCCTTAATTTCACAAAATATCTATGAGACAAAATACTTCCTGTGATTGTGCACATGCCTCCTATCCTCCTATTATAGAAATGATTACATAACATTTAGCTGACACATTTATCCAAAGTGACTTACAATAAGTGCAGTCAAACACGAGGGTTGCAAGAAATACGTTAAGTCCATAAGAATACCCTTGGGTACCCAAGAGCTCTCTGATTGATTGTGTTTTAATGGACTGTGGTACTTTAAAAAGTGCCCTGACACAACAAATCAAGTGCGCCTTAAAGCTGCCAGGTCTGTGTCAGGAGGGAGGATGGCCTGAAGGAGTTGGCGGCCTTAAGCGAGCTCCCCACCGAAGCTTTGGTCCCTGACTTTTATTAACAAATTCAACCTCTGGTGTCCGGACACACGTTCTGTCGGACCTCGGTGCTCTCTGATCAAATCTCGCACACATCCTGAAGTGGTTGGACTCAAATTATATTTGGATAGAACTTTGGTGTGGACACAATCCTACCAATTTTCTGAGGTAAGACCTGTTGGCTGCACTCTCATATCCCTGAACAAGAGAGCTAAAGAGTGCAATGGCTGCATGAAGTGTTCCTCAAGTTCACCGGCCAACTCTGCAAGAGGAAGAAAAAAAGTATATCCCCCCGAAAAAAGTGCTCTCTTGTCCGACTAGAGAAGGTTGTGCAAAAAGAAAGAAAGTATGAGAATAGCTTTGAATTATGTTGTTCCTCCTATGTTTTCCTGCTCAGGAACTCAAAATAGTTTAACAGGACAAATTATTCCAGTGACCCTGTTAAGACATTCTTTACGCCAGTTCAAATATGAAAAATGGGCTACAATGGATGAGATAAAAACAAAGAAATACACGTTTTTGAGGAGATGTAAATGTATTCCTCTAACCATCATCACATTTGTGACCTTCCTTGAAGTGCAGGGCTGCAACGAAAGATTATTCACATTGACAGTTATCATAACAATTATTCCTTGCTTATTCCGGTTTGGTTAAAAGAATGTGGGAAAATGGATAAAGTTTCATAGTTGTTTAACATGTTTCCATCTGGTCAATGAACCAAAAGCCAATGATATCATGTTGCAAAATCATAATGTTTTTTTTTTTAACCGAATATTTGCAACTCTTTGCAGTCCCTGAGACACATCCGCATGCCACACAAACAAGAATAAATCAACCGGAATTCTGGAAAATATTAATTATACACAAGGAAAGTTCCTGTCTGGGCAGCAGAGTCAGAGTGATGTGACACTTTCTTTGTGATCCCTTTCTGCTGCAGAGACAACTCTCCTCTGAAGCAAACCAACAAACCACCACTAATGCAAGCTGGCGACTCACAGATGACAAAGTTCCAACACGTCAACCTGCTCTCTGTAGTTACAAACCACGTATCCATAAAGAGGCAGCTTAAAAGACCAGGGGGGGCGGGGCGGATTCAAAACATCACATCAACATCTCCTTAATTTCCCCTGTGATGCATCTTTTAGAACAGAAGCGCTTTAAAAACCTTTATGATTAGTAAATACAATGTGACGACTTCAGCGATTTTTAGAACCGCACCCAGCTTTGACCCGAGAAGATGTCTCTTCAGCTAGTATACTACAAACTGACAACACATGTGTGGGCGGGCGGAGGTGCTGATGTGTCTCTTTATTGTGGCAGAACCAAAATAAACACAACCAGGATAAAGATACAGGTGTCCTTTAAATGGGGAATGGAGATGGAAAACCACGGATGACAGACAGAAGATGGAATAAAGGATTTGTACCAAGACTACCAATACAAACCGCTCAGA